TCAGTTTGCCATTGCTTCCCGGGAAGTCCATTTCAGCTCTTTATCCTGTAGATCTTCCAAGGTATTTTCTTTCACATCTGTCATTTTTTCTTTAACATCTTTTGGACATAGCCTATCTATAGAAGCGGACATCATTGCTGACATTGTAGCTGCTAGTTTCTGTCCCCATTCTTCAAATTATCTTCTGGAGTATTTCAAATGTCACACCATTTTCTGTCATTTTGACTCAATGCTGACCAAGATGGCATGACTGTTAATTCAGAAGCTGACTGGTTCTGGGTTCAAATCAACCAACTCTTAACCCCCTAAAAGAGCAGATCTGAAATCTGAGTATTCTTCTGATTCATTATTTCTGCTAGAACAGCAGGTGAAAGCCATGGCCAAGAGGGCCTTTGCCCAGCTTCAGCTGGTGTGCTAATTGCAGCCTTAACTAGAACAGGATATGCTGACAATGATCACTCACAATCTTGTCTGGATTATTGCAGTTCACTCTATATGGGGCTGCCCTTGAAGACCACCCAGAAACTCCAACTGGTGCTAAATGCAACCACCCATATGTTTATTGGGCAATCACAATATTGCCATATAACACTGCTGGAACCCTCATTGGCTACCAGCTTGTTTCTGGGTGCAATTAAAGGTCTGGGTTATCACCTATAAAGCCCTATATAGCTCACGCCTGAATATTTTTGAGGCTGCCTATTCCAGGCAAATTCTGCCTGCCCAATCTGAGACTAGCTGCTGGAGTTTCCAGCTATCGTGACATATGATAGGAGGGACACAAAGATAGGCATTCTCAGCAGCAGCTCCGCTCCTGGGAACAGTTTGCCCCCCAAAGCAAGAGTTGCTCCCACTCTCATGGCCTTCTGGAGATTAGCTAAGACTAGTCTTCCAGTAGATTGGCACCAAGCATGGAGAAGTTGCTATCATGTTGTCCTTTTACATCTTGCATTATGACTATACTGCATTGTATTCATTTCCTGTGCTGCTTAGAGCCCCATGGAAAAAAATGGTTTATAAATATATACATAAGTGAATATAAATAAATTGGGAAACATCAGTCTAGACAACCAGTGTCTCTGGAGCAGGACCTTGGCAGCAAGCGGGCCAGTTTGTAATGAATGACATGGGGCCTAACACAAACCCATACAATAAACCGTGCCTGCTTCTCTTCTGCCAGCATTCACTCTGATGCTGTTGAGGTCTCCGTCACTGCCTGATTCCACCCTCTGGCCCAGCTTTGTGGAGAATACGGGAATCACACACTAGCATCTCTAAGCAAGTAATGGAGAAACCAAATGATCCAGCCAAGAGATGAGATCATCTGTTTTTACATACTGTTTCTTCCATTAAACTGGCAAGTAGGGGAGGGAGGCTTTTAAGGGCTGATGAAACCAGCCCTTTGTTTGTCAGGATGATTCTTGCTGTCTCTCAGCTCCTTTGTGTGTAAGGCTGATGTGCTCCTGGCAGATCTTTCCCTTTCAAAAGAGATGATGTCATTAGAGAGGTAGCCTCAAAGGGACCAGCAGCATTTCAATGGAGGGAATGGTCCACTGACCACAAAAGAATGCATGGGGAGGAAGAGGGGTGGTAGCTATTGACCGGCATAAGAAGAGCCCTCGTGGTTCAGACCAAGGTCAGCATCCTGCTTCCCACAGTGTTCTGTAGGATGCCCACAACTGTATGTTTATTTTTAAAATGTATATATCCTGACCTTCAAAAAAAGTTTTCCCAAGGTGGCTTAGTGACCCTTCAAAACTGCAGTTAAAATATTAAAGTAAGAACAGCAGGTAAAAATATACCACATACGGACAGCAAAAGTCAAAACATCTGGGATGAAGTCACCTAAAAAGTTCCACTGCAGCCTAAAAATTAACACATTAATATTTTTAACCCTCAAATTTAATGAAATATGGGAGAATAATAACGGGAGGGAGGGAAGGTGTGCAAGAAAAAGGCACCAGGTATGCTTCACTGGGTAGAGAATTTCAAAGTTGGGAGACCACCACTGAAAAGGATTGCTCTCACTACTGTATCTCCAAAAGTAGGGACAATCAGAATAAGGCCTCTGAGATAACCTTAAATCGTCTGTACAGATTATCAGGCTTCTTTTGACTCCAATTTGTTTTAGTTTCCCAGAAACTCTACACTGCAAGCTAGAACTGAATGCTCTCTGAAATGCCATTTCCAACAAAGTGTTAGCCTCCGGTAGTTATCACAGATGGCCCACCTTATATCCTCAAATTCACCGCCCTCACTTCCTGCGCTTTCAGCAGACTAACTTGCTTGATGATTCCCACACTTAGTTCTACTTACATTCTCCACATTCCTGGACTGTAAAACTCTAACCCCAACACAAACATATCAAAAAGAAGTATTTCTTTAGATACCACAGTCCCAAGCAGTCAGGGATTTTTTAAGTGAATACCAGCATCTTGAATATGGACCAGAAATGAATGGAAGCCAATGAAGATAACCATAATCCATATTTCAATCAGCACCCTTGCTTTCATACTACGTACAGGCTAACTCAAATTTCTGAATAGTCTTTTTTTAAAAATATATATATATATTTACTAGACAGTTTAGAGAAAATATAAAAACAGGAAAGGAAAAGGAGCAAAAGAAAGGGATAAAAAGATAGGATGCAAATGAACAAACAAGGGATTTGCATTTATTTATTTATTTTTATTTATTTATTTATTTATT